TGTGGGGGGGTCCAAAAATCTTTCTCTAGGACAGACCCTATTCTTCTTAAATTTTCTGATTTGTCCCCCAATCGTATTAGACCCATTGACGCGGTCCAATTTGATGTGGGACACCCTGTATGATAACTGGACTACAAACAAAGATAGGAAATTTAAGTTTTGTCCATATCTGTCAATTTTTAGCATAAGAGTCTAACAAAGATGATGTAACGATTTAAAGAAACCTGAATATAAATTAAATCCATTTTACATAAAACATAGATTGATCGAATGTTAGTCATTAGATTAGACTCAGCAATAACATGAAAAAATTCCTTACAATTGACTCACTCTATACGTTCTAAACGAACTGTCACTACAATACAATCATGTAAGAGCCCTTGTTGATAAACTATAGCTCACTGATAGATAGATAACTATGTTACTATATGTTGAGATAGATAGAAAGATAAATATAGGTTGAGATAGATAGATAAATGTTAAGGTGGATAGATAGATAGTTGAATAGGCAGTGTACACAGAAACTACCTGAGCCCGAAACTTAAGACAGCGTATCGTATTGAAACCCGGTTTCATTAATGGGATGCAGGCAGTTTATGACGCTAGTTTTGTAGATATCTAATTTTTTGCAAAGATATCTTATTTCATTTGGGTTCTTTGCATGTTTTGCTTTCTGATTTCTTAAATTAAAGTCTACGCAAATGTATAAAGACCCCAAAAAGATATTTTCCTTGGAATTATTAACAGTCTTTTGTATTAAATGATGTTAGCAGCATATGCGGTATCAGGAGGGGGGGTGGCAGTCCATACCCCCCCCCTGAGCTAAGTTAGGGGTGTATCCCCCCTGAAATTTTTACAACGTCATTACTCCGTAGGCTTTTGACCTGGAACAGGATTTGTGACCACCGACAGGTTGGTCAAGCTGGAAAGAATGGTGATGCACCCGCAGAAGCTTGCCTCGAAATTTTGGAGAACAGTTTTTTTATTATCGTAAATTGGAAGAACTGGGAGCATATTTTTTTAATTTTTTTTTATTATGAACAAAAATTCCTTGTTACTTGTAGCCTTCTAATGGTATACTTTATTTTTAACTTTAAAAATAAACATAGAAACTACTTGCAGTCTCCTGCAAGAAAATTAGCATGAATTAAGAAGCATTACTTACTAAATGATCAATATTATAGCAGGAAATAAATAATATTATGATATTTATAATGTTAATGTATTAAGTTCAATCAATTCTTTTTTTATATCGTTAATATTTAAATAAATGAATTATAAATATAAAACAATTCTGTAACTGTAATTTTAGTAGGGTTAGGTTAGGTGGGTAAATAGAACTTTTTAGCAATAAATGGGGGGGGCTGATTTTTTTTATAAGATTAAAGGAGGGGGTAAAATTAATAAAGGGGGGGTAAACAATTTTTTCAGGGGGGCTCAGCCCCACCCCTGGACCAGTGAAATCTATGGGTTTCAGACGGTTAAGGCCCCAGCACCAGGGGCTGAGCCCCCCCCCCTTCCTCCTGTAAATAAAAAAAATGTTAAGCCTTCCCCCTGGACAAATTCCTGAATGCGCCCCTGAATGTAATGTCTGTCAAGTTGTCAACGTTGACTGTGTATAGTGTGCAGGGGCGGATACAGGATTTAAGTGAGGGGGGGGCAAGATTTTTTTAGGAACCCCAAAATTCATAATTAAGAACAAAATATCGCGCCTTTTTTTGACTTTTTAAGTCAAAATTAATGACTAAAGATTAAAAAACTAGATTTTTAACTTTTCACACATTATAGTTTATTCAGACAGATATTTTTCCTGTTTTGCACTAGGGTTTCTTTCCCTTAACCCTATTCCTGCTGGAGGGGATCAATTTGAACCCTCACCCTGTAGTTTTTTTTTTACATATCCTGGTTTTCAAGTTCCCCAGCAGAGATAGGGTTAAGCATGCTATTGAGAAGCTATTCTGAAAATAGCTAATCTGATAGTGTGCAATGTTTGATGAATGCCATTTATAAAGCCGTAGATCGAGATGATCCATGCAAATTAAGATTTAATTTTTTCATATTATTATTTGTATAAAAATTAATTTTACAAGCTTTTATATGTCGTCTTTTTAAAAACAAAATGATGCTGCTAAGTGACATTTCTTTAAAAAATTGTCTTTTAATTATATTTTAAGAATCATCCTTTCAGGGGCTTATACAGAATTTGTCCGCGATTGTAAAATCCAGGTCTGTTTACACTCCACATTTGAGTTACGTCATGTTTAATGGACTATTTAAAGTCATAACTAGAGTCTGAAATTAAGTTGTCTCGACTTATTCCAGATTTTTCTGGTCCATGACTACTTACTAGTCACTGTACTATAGGATAAATTAAGTGATTTGGTTTGAAATTACGCCTACGCAGACCCCTTAAAATTATACACAAAACGCAGAGGTGTAAACAGGGAGCCCCCCCTCCAAAGAATTGAAAACTCTGATTTTCAAGGTGGGTTTAATCAACAGGGGCTAACCCCCCCCCCAGCAAAAATTCCTATTTTACGCCATAGATTACAAATGTATGTACGTAAGAATAAAAACAATATTATTTCAATTATATTCTGACGCTATGGCATTGATTTTTTAATGAAGGATAAAGAATATTTGTTGTTTTGTTGATAAATAGAGATTTGCTCTTGAAACCTAGCAGCACAAGCAGTTGGTCTCCACAACCCTACATGCAGTACACTACATACAGGGTGATCAGCTCCATGTATAGTGTGGTGTACCGCGTGCACGCACAAAACTTTTAAATTTTGAGAATTTGTCTAGCTTTTTATTTAAAAAATATTTTCTGTATTTTATACGGTTTTACGTAAAATTGAGAGAAAAACCTGATATTTAACGCCCTGTAGTGTAAGAGCTTATAGATCTAGAGAGAGATGTTGGTCTCCAGGTCCCTCTCTCAACCGCAGGGAGCTGGGGGTAACCCAGGAGATGGTTGAAACATGCCATCACAGAGCAAATTCTTTTCTCTCCAACTCCAACTCCAAGAGGCCCTTTCTGTTCAGTTTTACACGCAACAAGTTCTTTACAAGTTCTTTACAAGTTCTTTACAAGTTCTTTTGTCAGAGGTGCACTAAGCACTCCCTGCAGGGTGTATAAACAAACATTTGGAAAGCAAAGACAGGAGTAAATGTTGAACCTTCCAAATATCTTCGTTTCGATTGCAGCTAATTCAATCGAATCGAAGATATAGGCTACAGTGAGTTTTGTTGTATATAGTAAGTATACAGACCTATAAATAAAAATAAGCGTCGCATTTTTTGTAGTCTAGATATGCTCATGTGATCTTAGCATTAGAAAAGACCAATCCCTACTTGTTTTATTTACATATCTCAGAATTTGGTTACAGTAATAACCAGAAAACGATGACGACATTATAGCAATACTTAAGAGTATTCGATGTTGATACAAAGCCAATGTTAAGTACCAGACACTAATTAGGAAAAATGGGTTAATTTATACTTTGTACAATTGCTGTGTCTCATGCTCATGATTCTAAAAGACGTATTCTTATTTCAGAGTTTTCTGGTCTTCACTGTACGCCATCAAAAACTTCAAAAACTGATAATGATTATGAACTTTTGCTATTTTGGTTATTTTTTAATACAAAATAAATAAAACACTAGAGTTGTACAGACTTTTTTTCCATATTTTTTTCTCTCAATAATTAGGGTAAACTTTATTTAGAGAAAATGATCTTAGTAGATTGTTTGATAAAATGAGTAATTAGAGAGTCTAAAATCATGAATCTTGGGATTGAAGAGCAAAGCCGTAGGTAAATTATGTACAATCTACATGTACACCCTGAACCAGGGAAAAGAGATCCCAGAGATCTATTAAAGGCTAGAATATGCGATATTGTGTCTAAAAAGGGGAGTAAGGGTTTACAGACTCGTTTGTAATCGGATTTACAAGATTGAGACCATTTTTAAAATCTACGTACAATGTCCGATTCAATGAACCCAATTTTTTGACTTGTAGATCTAAAAATAACAATTTTATAAACTCATAAAGTTTCCAATTGGAGTAAATTTGGTAAAAACAAAACTATAATCTCTATTTCAAACTTGTAAAAGGGTCTAGACAGACTTCAAGATTGGATACAATTTTCGATACTTCCTTTTCAATTTAAGCTTGTATAATCCAAAAATAAGAATATTTTAGGCTCCTACACCCCTAAGCCTCATTCACTTTACGACTTGAGGTCATTAGAAAAATAGCTGCCCTGGACACTGCTGTCTCCCAAAAGGCTATTTTTGGACTAGATTTATGGTCCAAAAATGTCTTGCTACTAATGGTGAACATTTCGAATAGGATCGTAATAAACTGTAATATAAACTAAACTGTAATAAACTGTAATATAAACTAAACTGTAATAAACTGTAATATAAACTAAACTGTAATAAACTGTAATATAAAGTAAACTGTAATAAACTGTAATATAAACTAAACTGTAATAAACTGTAATATAAACTAGACTGTAATAAACTGTTATATAAACTAAACTGTAATAAACTGAAATATAAACTAAACTGTAATAATCTGTAATATAAACTCAACTGTAATAAACTGTAATATAAACTAAACTGTAATAAACTGAAATATAAACTAAGCTGTAATAAACTGTAATATAAACTAAACTGTAATTTAAAGTAAACTGTAATAAACTGTAATATAGACTACACTGTAATAAACTGTAATATAAACTAAACTGTAATAAACTGTAAACTATAAACTAAACTGTAATAAATTGTAATATAAACTAAACTGTAATAAACTGTAATAAACTGTGATATAAACTAAACTGTAATAAACTGTAACCTAACATTGAATACAAAATTGTGAAAACGGAGAGTATCTTTTACTTTTTACTGGCTCCAGTTGGAAACTTTAGGAGCCTCTAACATTATTATTTTCAGATCTACAAGTCTTAAATTCGGCTCATTGAATCGGATAATTGTACGTAGATTTTAAAATGGTCTTAATCTTGAAAATCCGATTACAAACCAATCTTTTGACCCATATTCCCCGTAATTTTAGGGACACCCTGCATATGAGGGTATAATTTTCTGTTTTGTTTGAATAATATATTTATATATTTATAAATAATGCAAATACAATCTGTATGTTTTTAAATTGTTAGATATTACTGGCAAGTTTCAAACATATTTTAAAATTTTAAATAAAAATAATAGTAATAGGAATAGGAATAGATTATCCAGAGACAAAGTTAAAGTAGAAATGATAAATGTTTAAGTTCTCCGATAGTGCTGGAGGATATTGTTCAACCACAAGATAAAATCGCAATCCTGGCTTTAGCTATTCAGAAAGAGCTGTATCCAAGGTAATCAATTTAGTAACTATCGAGAAAAAAAGATTTCATTTTTAAAAGTTTCCTTTTTATTCAGCTGCGTGCAAAATTTATATTCACTCTATTTTAAAATTTGGCAAGTTTCAAACATATATGAATTTTAGATAACAATTAATGTTCCAGCAGGGCTAAATATCGGAAGCAACCTCAAGTTCAAATAACATTTTAAACCTTAACTTGTTTTTTACAAATTCTCAAATTAATTATACTTTTTTAAGTTTTGATCAACCTTTGGTACAGGGTTACCCACAAACGATGAGACTTTAAAGACGACTTGAAACTTTTCAAACATGGCGACCCAAGTTTAGAATAAGTCTTCTGCTTTGAATTTGTTCATAAGCCAGGCTAAGTTGTGTTTACAGTTCTATCAATGCAAGGTTATAATGCAAGAAAAGTTATTTCAGAAGGGTACACATCTTTTGTACTGCAGTGTACTGTCTCTGTGCGGTAATGTAAACACAAGACGGATGTCGAAGCCTGACATGGGATCCATCTTCACATAAAAAATCAATTAAATATTCTGGTCATAGGAAACTATTATGTGGATTATCAAAATTATCAAAATTTAATGCTTTAACCTCCTCGGATACTAAACAAACAGTAATGCATCTATTGTTGTTTACAAATTCCGCCCACAGAGAACTGCTTTCAATATATAAGCAGAGTATACGCAACAGCAATTATCTTTCCTTGCATTAGTACCTTGCATAAATGTAAAAAATGAGGTACGTTTACTTTCAAAATGGTGAACAATTCATTATATTTTGTTTAGGAATACAACGAAGAATAAATTTGATGTCACGATAAAATTCATTATATTTTGTTTAGGAATACAACGAAGAGCAAACTGGATGTCACGATAAAATTCATTATATTTTGTTTAGGAATACAACGAAGAGCAAATTGGATGTCACGATAAAATTCATTATATTTTGTTTAGGAATACAACAAAGAACAAACTGGATGTCACGATAAAATTCATTATATTTTGTTTAGGAATACAACGAAGAACAAACTTGATGTCACGATAAAATTCATTTTTCACTTATGCTGTCTCACCATCACATTCGTCGTCTTTGTTTCAATATTTAAGGTAAAAATATTCGATGATAACCACATTTTTAGTGGGACTGTTAACTTAATTTCAAATGTGGACGAGGTATGTAAGAAACGATGGTAAAGCTTTCTTGGAGGGTCCCTTTATATTAGATTTAGAGGCCCTTTATAAGATTATGAATGTTTTAGAGCTTTGTGTTCACGGACAAGGACGGAAAAACCTTATTCAACCGGGATTCAAAAAGATGTCCGTCACATGCTTCAAAACTGAATGCAGACACTATCAACAAATCAGAAATACTTGAATTAAGCCAGCATGTGGAATATTCCTCCAGTGAACCAGAACACGGGAGGGAAACCTTGATATCCAAGAGTACAAGCGGAATTCAGGTTCTCACAAATGAGTTTACAGAAACGGCTGAACCCAATAAACCTCAAGAAGCAGATACTGAAGATCATGATGAAACTAACAAAGTATTAAACTCTGTTAAAACTGCTGATAAAGGAATACCCAAGGATAGAGAAAATACTACCGTGGAGAAAACATTCAAATCCAAGGAAGGGTTTGTGACTGGCGGGAACGTGGAGGCTAATCAGATTGGAATACAAAATGACAGGAATGTGTATTAATCATTTTACTTTTATTTTTCAAACTTTTCAGCGCTTGAAAAATTCATTTGAATTTTGTTATATCTAGTTTTTTAAGTTTTTTCTTATTTTTTATTTATTAAAATCGATTAATTAAATATTTCCAAGAACCGAGACGGGATCATCTGACGTCCCAAAGGAGAGTGTTGAGGAAGGATTAGAGAACTTGAAACATAAAAATGTTACAGAAAAGAGAAAGGTATGAAATTTCATTTGGCGCTGCCACGGATTCACACAGAATGAGATTTCAGAAAAAATGATTTTTTTCTTCACGTTGCAGCATTTAAATTAGTTTTTGCTGCGTCCTTTATTAATTTGCCAATTGTATATTCAAAAATATTCAAAAATATTACAAAAAAAAACTTTGAAACTTTTAAATTCTTCTTTTAAAAGAGGAACAGATATATTAAAAAAATTATGTTTGTACCTTTTTACCAATCTTTTTTCACCATTTTTGTTCAAGATATTTGAAAAATTTGTGGTATTTTTGTGGCATTTGCCAAACTTTCTGTTGTAAATTGACTGAACTGAATGGTCCAATGAGCGGGGGAAGGCAGGCGGCCACAAGCCACAACATTTTCCCTTCCATGCCACATATTAGCTTTTTGTCTTCCGGTAGCCATGAGCCACAACCGTGTATTGAGTCTTTGAAATAATATAAAATTTCTGAACGAATATTTGCAACATTATGGTGTAACCTTTGATATTTAAAACTTAGATCATTTGAATTATAGTTAAAAATATCTAAGATCTAAGACAACATTGATTTGCAAAGATTTTACTGATTGTAATATGATTTTATAGAAAAAAAAAATGACCTCATGTTGTATTTGTCAGGGTGGTTGTTCCTCTGGAGATGCACACGATTATTTCTCCGGGTTTCTCATCTACGCCGTTGCATATATCTGCATCATCTTGTGAGTTTTTTTATATTTCTATTTTCATGTAATTTCATGTTTGTATTCATATACAGCACTATTATCTCCCTTGAAGGGGCTGATTCATCTGATATAAAGTCCTGTTTTGCCTTCTATAGTCCGTATATGTACTGTACAGCTAGCTTGCAGCTTCAAAGTCGGTCTGGTACGGTAAATGAACTGGAGTTTACAGTTAGAGGGTAAAAACTACCACCAATTACAAAAGATAATAGTTTTTGAGTAATACTTAAAATTGTGCTTTTTTGTATTTCATTATTCAAGTATTTTACAAAACTACAATGGTGGTAGTCTAGTTAGAATTTGTACATGATGCACCTGCAGAAATGATGTAAATATTGTCTATCTATGTATAAAGCTGAAAAAGTTATGAAGTTTAGGAATTTGTGAATTTTAGAAAAACAAAATATGACTTTTTAATCTCAATAAAAGTAGACTTTCTAGTACAGTTTGTTTGTGTACTATTAAAAACCTTATGATCGTTTTGATATTTTTCGAAAACAAATTGGCTTTTGGTGGATGTTTGAGCTAAATTATTGTTATTGGATATCGGGTTGTTGGACGTGAAGATGAGTTGGTTACCCTGGCATCAGACATAGGATGAGGTTTTGATTGGCTAGGAGTTGGCTATGGAGGCCATTCTTCCAATCAGGAGGCTCAGGAGGCTCAGTTTGCGGGGCACATATGGATGCTCTGCACCCCCTCACTATTTAAAATGCTTATAATTTCTTAGTGGCAATAGCACAACTGACCAATTGTTAACTGTAAGTGTGAACTGCTAAACTATTAAATTGTCAACTGGCAATTTGTTAGAAGGCAAAATTGTCAACTGACAAATCCACTGACAAATCAACTGACAAATCAACTGACAAATCAACTGACAAATCAACTGAAAAAATGTCAACTGGTAAAATTGTCAACTGGAACATTGTCAACTGGCAAAGTTTACCTGGCAAAATAGTTACACTGGCAACTAGCCTCTGACAATGTACCTAGCACTGATAATTACACGGTAAGTAGTTCAACGACGGTAGGTAGTTCAGCTCAAATTTAATAAATTCGGTCCTGGGTTTCATAACATTATCAATTCCAATATTTGTTTAGCATGATATTTAGTATGGTGGCTCCTGAGAATAAATCGTATCCTGGTCCTCCGGAGATTAAAAAATGTAATCTTCAACATCATTCTCTCACTAATGGTTGGACTACCACCACAACAATAAAGGTATCTTTGGTGCTTTTTTAAGGGACTAAAAAGGGGAAATTCCGATTCACAACGGTATCCTGTTTTATTTGTTTTATTCTAATAATTTCTTTATTGTTTCTGAAGCAAGAAATGCGCAAGTAACTTTTGTATTGGAACTGCAGAAATGAAAATAAACACCCTGAATTAATCTAATCATACGTACCGACAACTATCAGGATTTTATTTATGGCTCCCTTCTCCCTCACCCTAAAAAATATCAACAGTAAAATCCATGAAATATTGTAAAATATAAACATGAAATTATTGTTCAGATTGACTTGGTGACTGTTCCGGGGCCAATTGGTAAAAACTTCAAACTAATTCAACATGGGTGAGTTCTGTAGGGGTTTTAATACAATCCATAAACCTTTTCTTGTTTTCTTTCTAAAAAAAATCTATCAATTTGGTGAAATGTTTGAGCTGAAGATTAACAAATGGACTGAACTGAAGTTGAATCATTCCTTTTCACGAGGATCCTTATTGGTCCAAAAAATTATGAATTGGATTTAATTAATTGGCTGGTTTATTATATTTGGATTTCCTGTGCGTATCCAATAAACGTCAGAACTTATTCAGAAATCCACCAAAAAAAAAAAAAAAAATCGGCTTTAAACGGAGAAAGGGTAGAGGCTTTAAGTTTTACTCAGGTAAAATTGAACCCCATTTATATATATCAAGCGCCGATCCCCTTTTTGTGAAACTCAATAATTTTGTTTTCAGTGGTAACTCTGAGCTAGAGCCCCGACGTTGTGTTGATGAAGGTGTTCTTCTCTGCATCTGTGAAACCTGTCGATCAAGAAGGTGTCAAACAATGCCGAACCGTGCCACAGGGAGGTCACCATCTCAAGGTTAGTTTATACCCCGGGTTATCCGGCTCTAACTGGATTATCAATTTCAAATTGTGTGTGGAAACTCTATAAACCCTCCCCCCCCCCCCCCCAAGTCTATTAGTTTATGTCCAATTGTTGAATTATGGTCTGAGGAAAGATATTAACCAAAAGAAAGATCAACAAGAATTTAACCTTTTTTATATTTTGTTTTGCCCTTCTTTATCATCTTTGAGTGAAATTTTTTCTTCTTTGTACAATTTAATAAGAGTAAATTTTATAATTGATTCCATTAGAGCCTTGTAAACCTTGTAAAACTCTTAAATCAGGTTTTTTCATAACCAACTATATATAGGATACCCACCTGAAATAAGAAGTGCAAAAATTTTCAGTCTTTTTCACAAACTCAAATTTTTTAATTTCTTTAAATTTTGCAACCTGATTTTTCAAACTTAGATTATTTGATCTAATAGCATGGGAGAAAGGTTTAAATAGAATTCATAATTTGAAATATCTAAAGTCTACGACATTGGGTTGCAAAGAGAAATTAAAAAATCTGATTTTTAAGCAAAGACTTAATTACTTAGCATTAAAAAAAAATTAATATTTAATACGAATACGCCGCTTTTGCTTTTAAGCTAACATGATTATTATACGTTTTTGACTAGAACATCTAATCACTTTTCACTTGATAGTCAAAAGTAAGGTTTGCATCAATTAATAAAAATACCAAGAACATAAGCAAGTACTTGATCCCAAGACTTACAATACAATAGTTTTGTCTTCTGTACATTTCCAACTTTGAGTATACAGTGTTCATGTAAATATGTATATATGTATATAGGGGTGTATGTATGTATGTAAATATGTATATATGTATATAGGGGTGTATGTATGTATGTAAATATGTATAGATGTATATAGGGGTGTATGTATGTATATAAAAATGTATATATGTATACAGGGGGTGTATGTATATAAAAATGTATATACGTATATAGGGGGTGTATGTATATAAAAATGTATATATGTATATAGGGGTGTATGTATGTATATAAAAATGTATATATGTATATAGGGGGTGTAAATCAGGTATTTATGGCCTTCAGCCTACCTACCTACTATCAGGTATTTATGGCCTCCAGCCTACCTACCTACTATCAGGTGTTCATTGTTATCATAAAGTTCAATAAACTATAGAGTAAGAATATATATTTTACAAAATAATTACAATTGATCAGTGAACTTTGCTGTTTTAATTGATCAATCTTTTATTTGCAGGCACTAGAGATGGAATCTATCGTGTGAAAGATAAAACAGATTTACACAATATACAAAATTGTCTTGATGTCGTTTCTTGTTTCATAATATACTCAACTACAGTTTTTTTAGTTTATTTTTATCAGGGATGGAATTTAATGAATTAGAAAGAGGTCACTGAGCTAGACCACCGGTTCAAATCCTGAGATGAGATTTTAAAAGCTTAAACTCGAGTAGAATCTGGTTTTTTCGTCTGCTTAGACCCAAGTAAAGCTCAAGTCAAGACCCGGGTTTTGGATGGCCTTGAGTTTAGTAAAAACCAACCATCTTGGAGTTTTCTCTCTTTAAGGCTCGAGTCTTAAGCAGCTGATGATTGTAAATTTCGTAAAATCTTTTATATTTGTACATTTAAAATCTCGGGAATTATTTGTGGTGTCAAATTTTATTAGATATATAAAATAAACATACTATGAAAATAATTAATACATAAAGTTTGAATTTTCGAAATTTACATCTCCTTCTCACAGCTGATCTGACGGCATTCTGTCTGCTACAGAGAGAAAGCTTGCTAAACAGTCTCTCATTGGTCGAATCAGAACCAATCTTGACTTGGGTTCTATTTAAGCCTGAGTCTGGTTTTTACTCTGAATTATCAATTCAAAGTTAAAGATTAATGAGGATTTGAATTGGAAATTAAGGATTAGAACCGCATCGGGATGTATTTCAGGGACCTCTTCGATTAATTAAATTCGGTCTGAGATCTCTGAAAGCTGACATTTTTTCAGAGACCTTCTAATGTTGTACAGGGTGTCCCAATAAACATTGTAATCAAGTGACCACTTTTATATCGTCTTCGATCCATGTGCATTTTTTCATGAACACAATGATTGCAGTAATTTAGTTTACACATCTCATATCGAAAACGCCTGGTCTTGAGATTTTTTAAAATGTGGTCTACCATTTTTGTATCTTTATAATATGGCAAAATTTGTACAAATTTTTATACTTTCTTTGCCATGCATTAAATATCAGAAATCAAAGTCGTCTCTTAATTCCCATGTTTATTGGGACACTCTGTAGATTAAATCTGCATTTATAAATGTTGTACAACAAAAAATTGCTAATATTTTAGATACTGATCAAATTATTTACGAATCAAATAATTTATCTAATCATTCTCAAGTTTACCAATTAAATTAGAGATAAATGTTATTTATTGTATTTATGTAAATGAATTGATTGTATTTATTTTATGATGGTTTGTAGTTAGACTAACTTTTACACTTTATTTTCCATGCATCAGAAATCAAAGACGACTTTCCCATGTTTATTGGGACACCCTATAGAAATATCTGCCGTGAATCTTTTAATTGTTGAACAAAAATTTGCTGATATTCTAGAATTTCAATACTGATCAAATTATTTACGAATCAAAATAATTTATCTAATTATTCTCAAGTTTACCAATTAAAATAGAGATAAATGTTATTTATTGTATTTATGTAAATAAATTGATTGTATTTCATATTTCTTATTTTTCATATTTTTATTCAAAACTACAAAGCACGAGATAACACAAATAAAAAAAATCACAATTTACTATGTAGATTGGACCCGCAAACCAGAGTAGGTTGTGTAAATTGGTTGGCCCACTATAAACGAATGAGAATTGCAGATAAAAACAATGTACATTGTACATTTTAAACATAAGAATGATGATAAATCAGGAAAAAGGTAAGGAGGAGATGAGGGAGTATAAGGGAAAGGGAGGATACTCAGCGTAAGGGTTGGAACAGATGGTAACATAAGTTATTAGAATCATGTTTATGAACAACAGGGTGAAGAAGATAGTAAAGACTAAGTTTATCCACATGATACACAGTTTTTATTTACAGATATAATTTGCATAACTATCTAAATATATCTTGGCGACTTTTCTTTTAAACGATTTTGCAGATTTAGTTTTTTTCAGCTCTAATTCAATCGAATTCCATATTTTTGGAAATAAAGCAGAGGGAAAACATTCTAGAGTTTTAAAGAGAACCCGTTCAAGTTTATATGATTTTGTTCTATTAGTATTTATTTTATGATGGTTTCTACTTTATTCATGAATAATGCAGTTGATTAAACAGCTAGGACCGGTTATTCTAATATTTTTTATATATCTTCTTATCCTTTCATTCAACATAAAATTAGAAATTGTGTAACTGTGAATGTAACAATTCAAGTCATCCTTCGTTACTAGAGCTAGGGGTAAGCTTGAATCATAACGATATCCTTTAAAGGGAGTGACATGGCGAGACTGGAAGTTGAAAAACACTTAAGGTCTCATTTGTTTCCAATGAGACATTTTTTACGGTGTACAAATATTAAATAGAGCGTAAAGTCGTTTGTAATTTTTCACCAGTTTTTTCAGTCATCAGAAGAAATGTTTTTAACAATTCTTGAATAACCTGGACATATTGACATATTGACATATTGACATATTGACATATTGACATATTGACATATTGACATATTGACTTCTGACAATTTCATTCATAGCCGCCTCTGCAGCCAACATCTGCATATCATTTTTAAAGACAAACCTTTTCTAAAATAAACAATTGTAGGTGAAGACAAAGATATTATTTTAACAGATGAAGGCTTAAAGGGTACCTCTGTGAATTGAGCCTGCACCTAGCTTAAAATAGAGTCTCACTTAACAAGATTATTTAATTCCTTTTCTCACAACAATTTTAAAAGGAATTGAAATCCGGACATTAAGTGTTTTGATAGTTTGCACGACTCAGATATACAGATGTTACAGCAACTAGTATTTTGTCAAAATCAGACATTTTAAAAATCTTTTGATAATAGTCTGATATACAGTGTTGCCCATAAAGAAAAGAAAAAAGTTGCACTAATGGTTCCCTGTGGCAGCTCTTTCTTTCTTCGAGAAATCACTATTTTCGATTTAGAAAACCAAGCCCTGAGCCCGTTCTCTCCATAAAAATGTATAAACAGTACTTTGGAGGACGATAGTTTGGCCGCCAGATGTCTTCCGCTAAATTCGTATCTGATAGATAGATAATTCATACGACCACAATTGAGAGACGTTATGTGGTCGACCACTGCAATGTTAGAAGAAATGGCCTCATAAAGTTTAAGTGTTGTCTACGATATAAAATAAACTGTCTTTTATATCAATATTTCTAGATTCAATATTCATTCTTGAGTCAAAATATTGGCAATAGTGATGGCAATGATAACAGCTGTGGCAAAAAGAGAAATTGCCGAGGTAACTAGAGCAACCAGGGGCAGTATACAGCTAGTTGTCAATATTTTACTTCCAAGTGGTTTATTCTCACTTCCGGGTTTAGTATCAACCTGTCTGCTCAAGGGAACGTCCTGTTCTTGTCTCTCTTTTCTAAAGATTGTTGCCGAAGGAGATTGTTCTTGTTGAAGAAGGTCTTTGACAGGAAAGTAAAAAGGTCTCTTTGTTGATCTAAAATAAGTAAATTTGAAAATAAAATTTGGAAAATAAATGAATTATTAAAACATACGTGAAATATGAGCTTGTTGTCGTTGTTGTTGTTGTTGTTGTTGTTGTTGTTGTTGTTGTTGGTTTGGTCGTGGTTAATGTAAATGTTGTGGTTGTTGATATCGTTGACGTTGTTGTCATTGTTGTTAATGATGTTGTGGCGGATATGGTTGTTTCGGTCGTTGTCACTGTTGTTGATGTGGTTGTTGTAGTCGTTGAGGTTGTTGTTTTTGTGGTTAATAATGTTGTGGTTGTTGGGATTGTGTTTGATATTGTTTTTGGTGATGTGCTTGAAGATATTGTTGTTGTTGTTGGTGTTGTATTGTCTTCCAACCTTCTATTAGAAGTTGTTGATTTATCTGATAATGTTTCTGCTGTAGATGTTGTTGATGTTGTTGATGTTGTTGATACTGTTGATGCTGTTAATGTTGTTGATGTTGTGTTCACCAGAGTTTGAAATGGAAGACTTTCATCTTTGCTGAAGTTAAAATTCAGACTTCTAAAAACAGAATTAAATTTAGAAGAAAACAGATGACAATTATGCATGGATTAATGATCTATAACGTACAGAGCGTCCCATATCTTTAATCGAATAATCCCCAAGATTTAACGCCAAAATAAGCACATTTAACTCAAAAAACCTATTTTTTTGGCATGCTAATTTTTTCATTTGCCTTATGCAATTTTTGAAAATGATTCATTTTTTAAAAATTGATAAAACAAGCACTTGTAAGAATGTTTGTTTTACCTTACTGTATACTGAACAGGTTCTTGTACTACTGTAGGCTCACATCGCAAGTACAGTACTGCATTTAAAGGAAATATAAACATTGATAGAATGGTATGTCCGATTAACAAGGGTCCGCTTAAAACCTTTATCTGATCAAGTACGAAAAAGATATCCATGTTTTTATTTGCAAAAACTAACTATTTTTATTTGTGGTTCCTCTAAGTGACTTGCGCATTTTTTGCTTTTATAGAATTTAAAAAAATTGTAGAAATTATCAAAATTAAACAATTTTTAAGCAAGAAAAACGACGATATATATATTAGGAATTTAGGGGTACCGATGTAAATAAGGTAAGCACCTCTTAAAATTGAGATTCAATGAAAATTACAATGATAGTTTCTTTTAAAGTTCAATTAAATTCAATAAACCATGAGGCTGAGATTTGAAAATCATGAATCCTAGTTAAACAGTTTAAGAACCGGGCATAAGTGTCAACTCAAGTACTTGACAACCTATTTGGTTAAACCCAGTTTAAGAACCGGGCATAAGCTAAACTCAGTTTTAGTTAAAACCAAGATAATGTATGTTTGTTAAAAATAAAAATTCAAATCAAAATCTTATGTGTTACGTGAATAAAATCGAAAAATATCATATTGTTAAGATTATTCAAAAATATTAGAATCAAATGATGTTTAATTGTGTTTAAAACAAGCTTCAAATTACAAATATTATAGCATAAAAAGCATGATATAAAAGTACAGGGTTACCCACAAAGGATGAGACTCGACGACCTTGAAATCTTTTGGACTAAATATCTGAAGGTTGAATTAGGTTACTGTCTGAAATATATTCTGTTATAAGGTTTATTAGATGATTTAGCAAAGAAAGAAAAAAGATCATACTGGTTGTCTCCCAGCTGGGGAATAGTTTAAAATGTCTTCTTCCATAATATGTTAAGTAGTTTGAGATAATAATCAAAATATTATATGGTAGTCATATTATAATTTTTTTCAAAGTAAAATATCTTTGAGTAAAATTTTTTTAACGAAATAAACTGCAAAAAATTTTAATAAAACATCATTTGATAGAAAACATTCAAAACAATTCCCCAATTGTCATGTTTTATGGGACACCCTGTACCTGTAAGGGAACCATTAATGTATAAGAAAAGGATAAACAGATTTTGTTCAGTCGTCTCTTAAGGTTTATCCTTTGTAGGTAACCCTGTAGTTTAAACTAGAAATTCAGAATTGGATAGGAAAATTCTTAAACAGGTAAATGCAAAAAAACCAATTCTCTAAAAAACATTCTCATGAAATGAAACCTTAACATTTAAGCGCTAAAAATATAAAAAGGTGACCCTGTAAATAGTTTTGGTATTTATCTTTTACCTATTGAACAAACAAGAGCAATCAGCACCAGAATAGAACACAGGTAGTAATGGAAGTTTTTCTAAATAACTTTCTCGTTTAGAAACCATTCGTTGAACAATATCGTACAATTTGTTTTTACTTTTTAGATTCTCTAATTTTAAATAAATTCAATACGTATATTATATTATTAAATTGTATTCATATTTTATCATTTCATATAGTAAAAGATTTAACCAATTAAACAATTTAACCGAAAATTTTATTTGCTAATAAGATTCTGCATCATCCTTAAAGTAAATGAACACATAAAAGCGCACCAAAACTGTAAAAAAAATTGTTGTGTCTAATATATACCTTGAGATATGATGAGCAGGAAGGTTCTAGTTCCTCTGGTTTACTCCTGGAGAATATATACCTTGAGATATGAAGAGCAGGAAGGTTCTAGTTCCTGTGGTTTACTCCTGGAGTATATATACCTTGAGATATGATGAGCAGGAAGGTTCTAGTTCCTCTGGTTTACTCCTGGAGAGTATATACCTTAAGATATGATGAGCAGGAAGGTTCTAGTTCCTGGATTACTCCTGGTGTATATATACCTTGAGATAGGATGAGCAGGAAGGTTCTAGTTCCTCTGGTTTACTCCTGGAGAATATATACCTTGAGATGTGATGAGCAGGAAGGTTCTAGTTCCTCTGGTTTACTCCTGGTGTATATATACCTTGAGATAGGATGAGCAGGAAAGTTCTTGTTCCTATGGTTTACTCCTGGAGAATATATACCTTACGATATGATGAGCAGGAAGGTTCTAGTTCCTCTAGTTTACTCTTGGAGTATATGTACCTTGAGATATGATGAGCAGGAAGGTTCTAGTTCCTCTGGGTTACTCTTGATGTATATATACCTTGAGATATGATGAGCAGGAAGGTTCTAGTTCCTGTGGTTTACTCCTGGAGAGTATATACCTTGAGATATGATGAGCAGGAAGGTTCTAGTTTCTCTGGTTTACTCCTGGAGTATATATACCTTGAGATATGAAGAGCAGGAAGGTTCTAGCTCCTCTGGTTTACTCCCAACCTCATGTCTTAATCTTCTATCTTGTCTTGGTAATGGTACTCCAGGCAAGTCACTTGGCTACAAAAAGAAATAATACTGAAAGTTAAATATTGAAGTTTGTTGAAGGGAACTGTAAGTGCTATTCAAGTGACCCTCCATGCAAGGATTGGAATGCCCGATCAACAACGGTGCGCTTAAAACCTGATTGATAATATGGAATAAATTGTTGTTTTTTCTAGATTTTAAAGCTTTTAATTCTGTTCTGATATTTCTGCCATATTGTCCTGTAGTATGAAATGCCCATATAACTTTCGGAAAGAACCCACAATTAAACTATAAACATTGATTTTTAATTCATACTTGATCATATTAAGCTTTTAAGGATACCGTTGTGAATTAGGCATTGTCATATTTGCGCTGAGGGTGTATTAAAAATACGCTAACAATCCCTTTAATTATTTGTATTTAATACCTGAACTGCATTCTTGGCCCATCTGTTGTAATTGACACCGTTTATTTCAACTGTATTCCATCTCTGTGGTTTATCTGGTACTTTCTGAACATTTTCTCATTTAAACGTATTTTCCATTAAGATATTGATACCATTAAAAGAGTGCAAGAATGTCTTGTTCTGAACTCTACCCTTTACAGTTTACACCTTTGTCTGATCATCAACGGTATAGAGTCAAAGGTTTTAAGGGTATCGCTGTGAGTCGGACATGCCACTCTTCAAATTGAGGGTTACTGAGAATTAAACCTAGTCCCTGGAAAGACTTTAATCAATATATCTAGTTTTAAGCATAAACAGTAGCCATGGGAAAGAAAAGTTGATGTTTACGAGAATTATAAACTTCCAAGCTAATTCAATATCCTGTGTCCGAATTTAATGAATTTAAGCCGCGTCTCAAATCCCCCCAAAACCGGTTTCAATTGAGCGCCAGCTTAAATCTTGAAAAATTCAATATAAATTTAAATAGAACCACCAAAATTTGAACTCTGGCTTAAATCTAACCCACGGCTCAAATTCTTTAAATTCGGCCTGTGGGAAAATTTCTAGTTTTGATAATTAAGTTAAATAAAACAAAATAAATTAATTAAACTCATTCTGTTTAGTTTTTACAAGGTTTGGTTCTTACAAAAGACTTCCGAACTGAAAACTTTAGAATGGCGGAAATCGAGATTAATGCGTGATCCGCTCTTTTTCATAATATCGAGACTAATCTAATCTTGTACTCGTATCCTGAAAAGTGTATAAAATTCAACCAATCAGAGTCGCGTATATGAAGCCGATAAATTTGAAATTATGCGCAGAAATGGGAGGAAGTCTCTAATTTAGAATAACCGGTTTTTGCTTTTTCACTACTATATCCAAGAAAGAACGGTTTAAGAAGAAAATCAAAAATGTGTACATTGGATACTCAGAATAAGTAATCGGGATTTAGGATATCTCATTCTAAAGTTTTCAGCTCAGAATAAATAAAATAAATAAATAAAAATTAAATAATTAAATAACGTTAGTTAATAACCTTATGAACAAAATCTGCTAAAATGGCAAATTTGATGGCAAACTTTTAAATTTGATGGCAAACTTTTAATTTGATGGCAAACTTTTAAATTTGATGGCAAACTTTTAAATTTGATGGCAAACTTTTTAATTTGATGGCAAACTTTTTAATTGCGTCTTCACTATATACAGTTCTAAAAGACCCTCGATTGATAGAGTGGCATGTACAATTCACAACGGTTTATAGTCACTAACATTTAAACGTATGTTTGTGTACTGTTGTAGGAGGTTTAACAAAGTATGCAAATAATCCATCAAAATATGTTAAAGTTAAACGAAATTCACTCTGTTTACCTCATTCTCATCATAATTGATTTCAACCTCTGAGAATGATTTGATCAAATTTGATTTCATCATAGAAATTTCTAGAGCACGCTCGAACTCATCCTGCCTATACAAATGTTGTTTAATTAGGTAAGATTGTCTGGATGAGTTCCAATGTACGGAAAATGTCTTCTTCAGAACAATGGACAATTAAAATCCTCATATGACGTAACTATGAGTATCAGCTTTTTTACAGCTGACCACGCACATCTGACCCTTTAGTAAAAGTAAATTCAACCTAATGTCTCACCGCGTCAACCTTGTTGCACCGGCTAGTCCTATTGAGTGTCTGTCTGCCTTATTTACCCAATGTCCGGGCGATACAGTTCACACTGGGAACGGAAAGGTTGACCCGGCTCGGAGGAAATTCAAATGTATTACGATTGCCTGTGTGACAGGCAGATAAAATCCTTCCCCTCTCTAACTAATAATGTTGTCCCTTCAGCTTTCGCAAATAAGCAGGTTCGTCATATGAGTATTTTGAGTGTTCATTGGTATAAATACGACATTTTCCTTACATTAAGACTATGGAGTAATTGTATCTAACCTTAATAAACAACCTTCAATTTAAAATTTCAAATTTCAAATTAGCAAAAATTAAATCATTATCATTTTCATTAGTATGTCACAAAAAGCCAGCCTTTCCGAATCAATCTTAACTACAGAAAACGCACTGTATTTCTGTCTTCTCTACCTAGGGTTTAAGCCAGGTCTATTCAACGCGAGATTTTACACTTACCTAACTATTTATTTAAAAACATAAGGTTACAGTTAAAAAAGGGTGACCGGCGTGACGGGCACCCAACTAGGACATGTATATATATATATTTACAAGGTTCATGAACGATAAAGTTAATCTTTTATTTGGTTACGAAATATGCTTAAAATGATGATAATAGCTTTATGAAGGAATATAGATAAGATATCAGGTTTCTCTGATATAGTACTCGGGGATATTTATTACAAAAGTAGCCTTAGAGGGCGCTTCGCGCCCATCTTCTAAATTAATTGTGAACATGTTCTCTTTGTGTACATCGTAAAACAAAACAAAAATAATTCGCGGATTTTCACAAAAAAATTTCGTGGATTTTCAAAATTTTCAAAAATTTAATGAAGATCGAATTTTGATGGAGACAAATATTTGAAATTTTGATCATTCATAAACCTTCCCTGTGGTCACGTGATGTCCCACAAAAAATTTGGGCCCGATCGGTTCAGCCGTTTTGACGTTTATTGGATACAAACAAACAAGCAGACAAACAGACAGACAAGCCAAATTTATATATAGAAGGGGGGAGGGGAGGAGGAGTGTTGAAAACTGACTTTAAACAACGGTATTTTTCAACAACTCCGGCCTAAAACTAAATAAAACAAATATTATTCTGCAAAAGTACTAAAATCAAACGCTTTTCTCAAGTCCAAATTTGATAAATACAGCATTATATTCCTTCTCTTCGTCTCCCACCTATCCAGTCCATTTTTAGTTTTTTCTTCTTCTTATTTTTATTATTATTATTATTCATTTCATTTGATCTTTTTTATCTTTGGTCTTTTTTTCTGATTCTTATGTTTATTCTTACATTGTTATCATTAACCATATCATTATGCTTTTAGGGACTGCAGTAAAGGAAAAATGAAAGGGGGTGTAGGATGAAACCTGAGCATCTCTGGCGTTGAATGATACATATAAAACAACTATCTATATTTTTACATATAGTCCGTATTACGTAACCATAACTTCAGCCAATGGCAGTGCAGTATCGTTGTCACGTAATATAGATGGAAACACGTGACCAGTATATTGCACTCCTATTGGCTGAAGTTCTGGTGACGTAATAGGGACTTTACGGACTATATGTAATAATTTTATCAATTATATCAATTGAAAATGTAAAAAAAAATATATAATAGGAGCGCACCTGAGATTCTCAGGCTCCTGTGGGATATCGTCGTTTTCAGATTGGTTGCGTATTATACTTGAATATGATCTGTTTAATACTACAACTTTTATACAAAATTGTATATATATGGATTTTCGTAGAAATTTGACACAGTTTTATATCAATTTCTCGAGACAGGAACATCAGATAGTTGTCTTATATGTATCATTCAACTCCGGAGATTCTCAGGTTTTAGCCTATACCCCCCTTTCATTTTTCATTTACAGTCAGTCCCATTATATATGAATTGATATGAGTATCAAAAGATGCTACTCGGTTTCCAAATTTTTAAAAATTTGTTAATTTTAACCTTAAAATTAGCTTTTTTGATATTCTGACAAATATCTTTAAAAAAACATGGAGCTTTAATTTTTTTAAATTTCAATGTTTCTGAACCCAGTGTTTCAGGACGGATATTTTTATATCCATCCTGTTCTATTTTGAAACATTTTTTCTGGTCGCTAACATTATTAATTTAATCGACACAAAAAAAAGAAAAAATCTGAATGAGTTTTCATTATACATGAAAATTAAGATGGATTTGAGAATTTTTATCAAAAAGTGCTTTATAGGCATAGTTTTGCAATTATTATTAATATTATTAACACTTGACATTTCCATACATTATTTGACTTTCATGTCAGCGATCGTTCAGAGACATGAACCATCTTTTTGTTGAACACAAAATGTAATATTCATCACAATTTTTTGTTGTTGTTATTGTTGAATTGTATAAACTGTTTAAATGTTCTTGCGTGGAATGACTGTATAACAAGGAATGATGGTTTTGATAAAACTGTAAATAATGTGTGAATGGTCTACGGGTTGGTAATATTATTGTTTATAAATCACCAAGAAACCAGGAAATCTAGGCGGGGATATACTGGATACAACGTTAATATTTAATATCAAACATTAACACTCACACACACAATAGGACATTTTATGTTTTCTGACAGAAAGGTATTTAATGATATTTAAAGGGGCTGTATAATATTTAAAGGTATTTAATGATATTTAAAGGGACTGTATAATGTTTAAAGGTATCTAATGATATTGAAAGGGACTGTATAATGTTTAAAGGTATTTAATGATATTTAAAAGGACTGTATAATATTTAGAGGTATTTAATGATATTTAAAGGGACTGTATAATATTTAAAGGTATTTAATGATATTTAAAGGGACTGTGTAATGTTTAAAGGTATTTAATGATATTTAAAGGGACTGTATAATATTTAAAGGTATTTAATGATATTTAAAGGGACTGTATAATGTTTAAAGGTATTCACATTTCCTTCCACTTAAAGAATTACACAAACCCGTTTGGTTTTAAAGAGAAACTGCAATTAAAAATGATTAGATTGCATATACAAAAACAAGGATATCTCCGTCATTTAGAGGGATCATTTTGAATCTGGCATGACAATGTTTAAATAGAGGTTCACTTGGGCTGGGGCGTATACAGGATTTATTTTAGGCAAAGGCTACTGTCCAGAATTATAACTGTTGTATATCTGTATGTGATGGTTTTGAAAGTTTATTAAACATGCTTATTTGTTGATCAATTTATTTAATACTGGGGAATGAAAAGTACAGGGGCGTACGGGGGGGGGGCTGGCAACCTAGCCCCCCCCCATGTAGCAGAAGATTCTAACAAATTGCCAGTTTTCTTTCAGGTTTACTGTTGTACTTTACAGAATTCTCCTGATACTGAACGATTTTAAAAAGAGAACAGTTGAGTGGTATCTCAATCTTACAGTGTTTTGGCTTCCTGGATCCGGATCTGCAAAAATATGCGGATCCGGATCCAAGGGGTAAAATATCAACCAAAAACTGCAAAAAAAACTTTAACTCCTAAACCCCAAATCTGAACTTTAAAGAAAGAGAGATTATAAAAATTTCTTCATTTCTGAATGGTTCATCATGTTTTAGGATAAAAATTTGCGAAAAAAAATAAAACAAAAAATTTGAAAATTATTTTTTGTTAAAAAAAATCAGTAAAACAGGAATGAAATGACCTGGATCCGGTTCCATTTTTTTCCAATGCGGATCCAGGATCCGGATCCGCATCAAAATTACAGGTGTGACACTTTCAGAATCAAATTGATAAAATGCATAAATAAAAGTACAGATAAACCTTTAAAATCATGAAAATTTATGTCTTTCTGTGTATGTATATTTGTGTCCTTAAAATTTACATCCTGAGAAGTGAATTTTCGATTCACTATCTTAAACTGGTATTCAAATTACACCTTTTCCTATATATTTCATTTCTTTTTGGTGTAAGTTTTAATAAAATCAAACTGTCAAAATTTTAAGTATTTCTTCTGATAATAAGTAAACAATATCGAAAATATTACACAATATTCCAATATACTGGGAATTATGAGACCACTTGAAATTTCTATTTCCGATAGGTGATACAAACAAAGATTGTATCGACATAAAGACTAATGAGCTTTTGAAAATGTGGTCCGCCTTCTTTGTCGAAGATATTAAACATTTAATTGTTGGTCAAAATATTAGAATCTGGACAGATTTCTCAACATCTCAGTTAATTTTGAAGGTGCAAATATAGTAAACCACACTTTAGAATACTAAAGATATCGACTTGAAAACAAAGAGAAAAGAGCAAGTGAAAATGGCAATTTTCGCAGATTATCTTGGACAACAAAAATGAAAAAAAAAACCTGTTTGGATATACGTTTCAGATTTTGCCCATTCAGATTTCAGATTTTGCTCGTTCAGATTTCAGATATACGTTTCAGATTTTGCCCATTCAGATTTCAGATTTCATATATACGTTTCAGATTTTGCCCATTCAGATTTCAAATTTATCGTTCAGATTTCATATAAACGTTTCAGATTTTGCTCGTTCAGATTTCAGATATACGTTTCAGATTTTGCTCGTTCAGATTTCAGATATACGTTTCAGATTTTGCCCGTTCAGATTTCAGAAGTCCCATATAACTTTATAAGTAGAAATTGAGTTCTGGCTTGGTAACCTTTATTTAACCAATACGATGAATGAGATGATACCATTGAAAACTTTAAATATAAATGAGAATTTATTTGAACGTCTGATTACTTTACACATGATTTGACAGTGAATATATTTGAAGAAAAAAGCATGATTACATAAAAAAAAAACACGGTAAATATGTTTAAAAAACTGAACAGCAAACTAATGCACTTAAAAAATTGTTTAATATGGTTTTGCAAACTTTTAGTTTTAAGAATATTAATGTAAGAAGATCGAATAATGTTCGTTGTACAATTTTAAGGGTCCAGTATATACACATTACACATCGTACATAAATAATTACTGATTGGCTGCTTTTTAAAGCTGCAAATGCGTGGTTAGAATCTACGAGCTGATTGGCTGCTCTTTATTCAGCTGTGTTTGTGCAGTGGTTCGTGCTCGAAATTCAGCTGCGCGCAATTGCTCCAAATGAAATTGCTGACGCTCCTAAACAAAAGAAACAATTATTTTTACAGTCAACGAAGAATTTTCGAGGAAAAAATAGAAATACTATTGGACAAGGAATCTAAGAGAAGCTCTCATAACTATGTCAACAAATAATGTGTACTGCACTTTTTGGTAAGATGTAAACAAACAGGCTGCTCAGACTGAGCTTTGATTGTTGTTTATTTTCCTCCAGTCAACTTCATATGTAAACAAAAAATCTAAAAGATTGCTTTCATTACTACAATGCAAAATTTAGAGGACTCTGGCAGAAATTGTAAGCCATGTTCTATATCTATATAGTAGTAAACTCTAGTCTGTTTCGTTGTCCGACCATATATCAGAAACCCCTTGACTGATTTTGCCTGAAATTTTGATTGGGGAACTTGGGAGAACCACGCAAATGTTTTAAAAACTTTGAAGTTGAGAGGGTTGACTTTTATAGGGAAATCTCGAGGCAAAGCTGGGTTCCCAAAATAGTATCGTATACGTATATATATTAGGTAGTAATATTTGCAAGTTTTTCTGTTTGCATGTCTGTGTCTGTCCGATCATATCTCAGGGACTCCTAGACCGATTTGCCTCAAATTATGATTGGGGAAACTCAGTAAAACTATGGGAATGCTCTTAGTTTGATTTAAAGGTTCTAACTTGAGTGGGTTGACTAATAGGGAAAACTTATTTCCAGGTCAAGCCTGGTTCACAAGCCAAGAATAAAATTTTGAATTATATTACTCTAAATTAGAATAGCTTGGAGCAATATTAAAAACCAAATGAAACAAGATACCCAACATTATTTAAGGGGTAAAATAAAAAAAATAAAAGTGACTTTAATAGTCAGTTGTGTTAAATTATACAATACCTGAATGAGCTGCTGTCTCTGGTACTCTAAGGCCTCCCTCTCCCTGTCCATGATGGTCTCTAACTCCTCGAAGTGTCGGAGCTTGATCTCAAGTTTCTTCATCTGTGTCTCGACAAGAAGAGCGACAAGAGATTTGATCTTACGCTCTTCTACTGCAGCCAGGTGCTTAGCCTGGAGAGTATATACTATATAAGTGTATATAGGTTAGATGGGGTCAAAGGTGTTTCTATTTTCTTGAAGTCATTACCCCCCCCCCTCTCTTGAAATACACCCCCCAGGTGGAGGTGGGCTCCTTACTATAGGTTTTGGGTAAAATAAATAGATTTGAAAATAAATGTATTTTCGAGAAGTAGCAAAAAGATGAATCTCATTTTTCGTTTTTATCCCCCAGGACAGGGTTGGCATTAAAAAACCCAGCCCAAAACAACCCGCCCAAAAAACCTAAAAAACCCACCTGTAAGTGAAATTTCTTGGGTTTTTTTTTTATTAGACTTTTTCTTATTAGTGCCCTTATTTCACTCTTTGATTAACTCTTCAAAAAATAAGGTTAACTATCAACTGTTTTCATTTTTAGGGAGTTTACAGCAATAAAACTGACACTTATATTCTTTTCTTATGAGTTTTCAATAGGTTGCGATAGAATAAGGATACAAAATCCCTTTATCATTCTACTGAATTGGGGAATAAACATGATGTTTAGAGGAACTACATAAATAAACTTTTGGCTACAAAGGATTTTTTGTATTAAAAATGTACACACCACTGAGCAGCGCTCGGTCCATTAATTGACTTGACTAACCTGCAGCACTAAATGGGATAGGTTGGTATGCCAGGGGACCAAGGGCTCCACCTCCACTCTCTGGATCCTCGAGGTAGGGATCTTCTATAGGTAGACGGAGGAAATGTAGAATACATTCGTCCTGGGTTCGACTGCCAACATGTTCACAAACCTAAACAAGAAAATA